TGATTTTCAGTTTTGTTCCACATTGTTCTGCCACTCTATCCTGGTCTCCTACATAGATCCCACTCCAGGTGGTTGACAGTGGTAGCATTGGCAGACTTTTTAATATTCATTGACCTCCCTCTGTCCACAGATACTTTTTAATAGGTTGGTTTCACCAAGGGAGGCCACTCAGAGGTTCTTTGAAAGAAAGACCTGGCAGTTTACGTACACCAAAAAACAGTCATTGAAAACCCTATAGAGCACAGCTCTACTTTGCCACGCAATAGGTCACCATGTGTTGGAGTCAACTTTGCAGCAGTAGGCTGGTTCACCAACGGAAAGACTGTTTATACTTTTCTTTCTTTCTCCCTATCTTCTGGGTCTTCAGCTATGACAGAGACTCTACCTTCAATGTGTTTGTGGGAAAAGGACAGCTGATTGCAGGGATGGACCAAGCTCTGGTTGGGATGTGCGTAAATGAGAGACGTTTCGTGAAGATTCCCCCAAGACTCGCCTATGGAAGCGATGGTGTTTGTAAGTTTTTGCTCTGTGTTTGTCCACGTGTCTGCAGAAACAACTAGAGCATTTGCAAGCTGTTTAGTCGGACAAACTAGAGAATCTTGGAAAGTTTAGACTGGGGAAAATGAGAAGCAGTGACTACACACACAGCTAAAATTTCCATCTGAGGCTTATTTCTTCTGAATATGGAAAAAAGTGTATTGAATGTTGCCCTTGTTGAGGGGAAAATTTGTTGTCACTTTTCTTGCAATGTCATTTGGAGGAAGGAGGGAGGAAGTGTGGCTCCCTTTTGGAATTCCATCCCAGTGACCCACTTGAACCCTTCTAGCTTTCATCCCCGTTGGCACCATGTCTGGCCTAAAGGCAGCAGTTTCTCAGCATGAACTCTCTTTAATTTCCAGCTGGTGTGATTCCCCCAGATTCAGTGCTTCATTTTGATGTCCTTTTGATGGATATTTGGAACTCTGAAGACCAGGTTCAGATTCACACTTATTTCAAGCCCCTTAGTTGTCCACGTACCATCGAGGTGTCTGATTTTGTAAGGTATCACTACAATGGAACATTCTTGGATGGGACACTTTTTGATTCAAGGTAAGTTTCACCATTCACAGTTGTGTCAGGGAAGTGCCCACTAGTTGCTTCTGTTTTGCCTGCTTTTTATGCCCATGGAGAAACCAGAAGAGGGGTCTTCCCAACATTAATCAGTAAAAAAAAACCTCCTTTCCTTTGCCAAAAATGTTAGTGTATCTTAGGGTAGTGTAAGAGCAGTGTCAGTCAAAGCTAACAATATTTTAAGAACTCATCACCCTGTCTGTAAGTAGGATCGTACATGTTTTGGTTCATTTTTATAGTTTTCCCGAGGGAGGAAGTGGGGGAGGATGGATGGATATGAAACTATGGGGAAGTTTGAGGGTGGAGTGAGGTGCTGAGCTGAAGAACAGTGAACCCTCTGAGCTTTCTTCTCATAGTATGTTTGCTTAGATGGGCTAGCAGGCCTGTTTTTGTGAATCATTGTGGTTTAAGTACATGCTTTTCATTTCTTCCTAAACTTGAGGATGTCTGCTCTGTGTTTGGGAGCAGCTGTAAATGTCTGTGTTGAGGAATGGGTACAGGCTTGTTAGGTAGCTGAGATTTGGGCTAACAAAAACATCATAGAATAATGAGTTGGAAATGCCATCATGGTATGGGACTTTTTTTCTTTCTCGTTGTTTTCAGTCACAATCGCATGAAAACATATGACACGTATGTGGGGATTGGCTGGCTGATTCCTGGGATGGACAAAGGGCTGCTGGGGATGTGTGTAGGAGAGAAGCGCATCATCACCATCCCTCCGTTTCTGGCCTATGGGGAAAGTGGAGATGGTAAGCCCCCCTCTCTTGGAGCCACTCTCATCTGTCTGTATTTCCATTGCAGTGATTAATTCAACCGTTACCACAAAAACCTACTAGACTCTGCATTTACACCTGTCCAATAGGGTAACAGCTAGTCACATGTGGTTGTTTAGATTTAAGTTATAATTACATAAAACTTAAAATTTGGCTCCTTGGTCACAGTGCCACACTTGAAGTACTAACCACATGTGGCTTAGGACAGCACAGATACAGAGCATTTCCAACCACTGCTGAAAGTTCTCGGATAGTGCTGGTCTGGGTCATCTGTCTGATGGTTGAGTTGCAGAAAGTTACACTTAGTAATAGTTATAGGCAGTCCCTGGGTTACGAACAAGATCCATTCCTAAGTGTGTCTTTAAGTTCAATTTGTAGGTAAGTTGCAACAGGTGCATATGGTTCTTCTTAGCTGACTTTAGTGCAAGAAAAGGCTTGAAGCCTTTTCAGTGATTTAAAAGCTGTACAGGCAGCAAGTGAAGGTAATTGTGATAAAGAATTTGTTGTAAATGGGTTCCAGTGACTCAAAACCAAACCGAAACCCATGGCCATTGAGTCAATTCTGACACATGGAAACCCTGTAGGAAAGTTTAGAACTGCCCACTAGGGTTTCCAAAGCTGTAAATCTCTACGGAAGCAGACTGCCTCATCTTCTGTGGAGCAGTTGGTGGGTTTGAACTGCTGATATTTTGGTCAGCAGCCCAGTATGGTAACCATAGCACCACCAGAGCTCCTTAATTGTTTCTGACTGAGGGCAAATTTACATAACGTTAACAGGCAAGTTGCCCATAAGTAGGGCATTCGTAACCTGGGGACTGCTCATATTGGCATTCATAAGTAAGCTCTATGCCCTTGCCTCACAAGCTGTGTCTTTGGGCACCACCTTCTCTGGGCTGGGTTTTCTCATCTATGAAATGAAACTTAAACTATTCAAGTCTAAAAGTTGTAGACATGAAAGTAGAAATTTAGTCACAGAATATGAGAATTGTCTATTTTTTTCCTTGTTTGCTCCTCCATGGTGGGTTTATCTGTAACATTAGCTTCATATGGACAAATGGAAAACATGATGTTAGAAAATACATTAATTAAAATTAGTGTTATGTTTATGGTTTTACTGTAAAGGAAAATGTAGAATTTTAGCTTTTAAATAGAATTTATCAGTTATTGTTTGTATTTGAATTTCAGTCACATTTAATCATACTGGCAGGCAGACACAAGGAGACTTTCAGGCATTTAAGCTAGCAGATCTATATAGCTAAGATAAGAAATAAAATGTGGTTCAAATTAAGAAGGTTATTGATAGTGGTATCTGATTATGTGTTCTTTTTAGGTGTTGTTGAGTAGGTTCTGATTCATAGCAACCCTACGTACAACTGAATGAAAGAAACACTGCCCAGTCCTACGCCATCTGCACAATTGTTGCTATGTTTGAGCTCATTGTTGCAGCCACTGTGTTAATCCATCTCACCAAGGGTCTCTTTTTTGCTGATTCTCTACCAAACATGATATCCTTCTCCAGGGACAGGTTCTTCCTGGTAACATGCTTAAAGTACATGAGACAAGGTCTTGCCATCCTCATCCTCACTTCCAAGGAGGATTCTTGTTTTGCTTCTTCCAAGACAGATTTGTTCATGCTTCTGGCAGTCCTTGGTATATTCAATATTCTTCACCAACACTGTCATTCAAAGGGGTGAATTCTTCTTTAGTCTTCCTTATTCAGGCTTCTGCATGCATATGAGGTGATCGAAAATATCATGGCTTGGGTTAGGCGCACCTTAGTCCTCAAGGTGAGATCTTTGCTTTTTAACACTTTAAAGAGGTCTTTTGCAGAGATTTGTTCAATGAAATATGTCATTTGATTTCTTGACTGCTCCTTCCAAGGGTGTTGATTGTGGATCCAAATAAAATGAAATCTTTGACAATTTCAGTATTTTCTCCATTAATCATGATTCTGCTTATTATGTTATCATGCTTACCAGTTGTGAGGAATTTTATTTTCTTTATGTTGAGGAAAAGGATCTCTCATGGTGTAGAGGTTTAAGCATTTGACGGCTAATCAAAAGGTGGTGATTCAAACCCACCAGTCACTCCACAGTAGAAAGATGAGGCATTCTACTTCTGTAAAGATGTACAGCTTTGGAAACCATATGGCACAGTTCTACTTTTTCCTGTAGGGTGGCTGTGAGTGACAGTGGACTTAATGGCATTGGGTTTTGGTGGGTTATGTTGAAGTATAATCCATACTGATCTTCATCAGTGCAAAAACGACAAGGAGGCCACATGTTCTGACCTCCTCTAACCCTACAAGGAGAAGGCAGGATTACCAGCAGTAACCCAAGGCCTATTACTGCCAGGCCAGACATGTTGCCTCCCTCCAGTCCTTTCTCCAACCGTTCCTCCCAGAGCACCCACCACCTCTCTCCTGGGTTCGATAATTCACTGCAGTAGCCACACAGAACTCACGGATTACGGGGTTTATTAGGG